GCTGTTGTCCTTACCGGGGAGAAGCGCACTTCACCACCACACCATCCGGGTCCTTCGTTTTGCCTGTCTCTCAGCTAGTTGTATCCCGTTGACGGGTGATTGCTGATGGCAAAGAGATCGATAGAACTAGCTGAGAGACAGGCAAAACGAAGGACCCGGAAGGTGTGGTGGCGAAGTGCGCTGCTGCCCGGTAAGGACAACAGCGCGTGTTCGTTCCCCACTGCATACACCTGCGGTCCGGAGTTTTGCAAATATCTCAGCATTACATTGCTGAGGGGTTTCGTTGAAGTTTATGAGTTAATGAATCCTGCTATCCTGGAAATTCGCTTCCGGAATAGTTTAGTAGACATTAGAAAAACCCCATAACTCTGTATAGCTGAATCTCTGCATAGTAAAGTGATGATTATAGAGATAAATGTTCTATCTAATATTACTCAGAATGGATTGTAGCGTGGCGTGGTGTCCGTGGACAATGTGGTTAACACGTAGTGATGTCGTTTACTACGAGCTGGTTTGAGCAATTCCTGGTCCCAACAGACTTCCCATCCTTTGGGGGCTATAAAACTATAAATTGGTACCAGAGTCGTCGTGAAGATCTAAAAACGCCTTAGAACAGCTATCCCAGAGAGAATTAACTCGATCAGTATTGAACGGCGTTCGCACGAGTGACCAAAAAAAAATCCCCAAACAACGGCCGAGCTCGCATGCAGAGATCCGAAAGCTTTAATGGGCTATAGATGCGAGGGAACGAATAAAATGCTAGAATTTTTGGAATTCGCACAAGACCTGATATCGGACCGATTAAAAAAAAGGTAGAATGAAGCGATGTAGTAGCGCAACTGTAACATGATGGCGTTCTCGAAGTACTCGTCAAGTTGAGTCGGTGTTGAGCTACCTAACTGGGTGATAGAGTTGAATTTAGAATAAATCTGTCAGCAGCGCACAGAACGTCAAACGTCGGTAATTAAACCTTTACAAGGGCGAGTAGTGAACTTGTACAGTATTCAACTATAGAGAATGTAATAGACAGTGATGAGGAATGTTGTGGAGAATATTGATTTGTAAAAAGGAGCTTGAAATGCATTGGTAGATGTTAGTTCACGGAAACGTAACCATTATTTATTTAGGAAGAGAAAATACTCTAAGAGAAATCGTCTATGAAGTCGAATTCTACGGATTCAGTGACCGTGTAACGGAAATAGTTGTTGGCTAAATGGAGTAAAAAAGATTGTAGAAATTGGCCTCCAGCACGTCGTTTCAATTTTAGGTGCAGTTCTCAAAATCTCCAACCACACTTGTTATTCGCTCTTCAGAAACTCCTTTTAAACCAATAAAATTACGGAACCATTTAACGTTCATCCTATATATTCAACAATGAGTTTTTGTATGGCTTATGAATTTGCTGAGGTGATTCAAAGACACTAGACCTATTTATGATAAATAACTTTCATTATTCAATGTACATATCAGTAGCGAAACTTGATCCGTTGGCAGTAAGAGGCTCGAATGTGAATATGATCGCCAGTTTTAAGCAGAAGAAAACATCTGTACTGATTGAAGCTCCAAAAAGTGGAAAGAAATGCAAAGTGCTCACCAGGACTTTTCTATGGAGTACTTCAAAAGCCCTTTTAGCATTAAAAAGCCACATTCGCCGTATCTAGAATGATAGTACAGAAACTCACTCACGTATTCTACTCTAACTCCATAGGCACACTCCATTCTGAGAGCGTGAGACCAGAACAAAAAAGAACTTTCATCAGTCCTAATCAAAACATTGAGTCTTTTCATACGCTCTCGGAAATTTATAGACCGCATTAAGAAGGATGTGATTACGGCTATGATTTTATATTCCGGCCTAGAAAAATGGCAGAGCGAGTTTGAATTCCTGACCGACATTGACCATCGAGAATAACAGTTGGCTCCACATGCCATAAATATGTAGAAATAAATCAAATATGAAGTTTCTGAATCAATCGTCAAACCTCCTAAAGTTTAGAATGATAAGTACAACACCGTTCAGACAGTTTTACCGAGCGGTAACAACAGCAGAACTCTAGCTTACACTACGCTATACTATACATACGCTATACTTATAGTAAGTACTACGCTCAAATAAGACGGTTGGCAATGGGGCAACGACTGGCTCCAAGCCTTGCCATTGCATTTATGTCTAAGGTGGAAGCACAGGTGACTGATCTCGGGCCGCTACTCTACTGTAGGTATGTAGACGACTGCTTTGTCCTTTGCTCAACACAAGAGGAAATGGACAAATGTTTCGAGTTGTTGAATAAACAGTCAGAATATATCAAGTTCACCCGAGAGAAACCGAGAAAAAAATAGCTTCCATTCTAGAACGTCCAAATTAACCTATCAGAAAATGGCTACATTACGAAGTGGTACCTAAAGCCAAGTAGTAAAAACACTTGCTTCATTACCTCTCCTCTCACCCCTCTCACACGAAAAGGGCGCTTATAAGAAACATGTTTCGAACGGCAACCAACGTGGGACGAGAGCAGAGAGAGGAGTCCCGGAACTTGGCACGGCAAATAGCCATTTTTAATGGCTACGAAACTGTAGCTCAGTAGGTGTAGAGGAATTCGTAGGCCTCCAAACGACAACTCTAGCGATAGAAGGGTCCCGTTTATCCTACCCTTCATTTCAAATGATATAAGTACAGCTATAAAACGCTGCTTAAGAAGGGCCGGCTTAGAGAATTCGGTGAGCGTAGTTGAAATACCACCGAGTAATCCTAAGCGCCAGCTAGTTCGTAACCGCCTATATGACCGTCTATGTGCAACTCAAAATTGCATAATTTGCCCCAGTGGTAGAGACGGTGATTGCATGAGCTCGGGTATAGTTTGTCTGATCTCCTGTAAGACGTGTGGTGACGAATACATTGGCGAAACGGGTAGACCCCTCTGTGTCCGCATGAAAGAACACCTAGCCGGCAAAAATAGACCAAATACCCCGCTAGGCACGCATAGGACCCAGAGACATAACGGGGACGACTTCGAAGTATGTGTCACGATCCTCGCACGCGAATCAAGAACACAGGCGCGAAAAACTCTCGAGGCACTCTGGATTAATTCCAGAAATCCGAAAATGAACCGCAGGGAAGAATGCCTCATTATCACGCATGATGTAGGGCAGTATATAAGACTGCTATTCTGATGAGTGGGGCACATTATACTTCCATGTGATTTTTGTGCGGTTGGTCTCTACGTGACATACTTAGTGGAAACCTCATNCTCTAGCGATAGAAGGGTCCCGTTTATCCTACCCTTCATTTCAAATGATATAAGTACAGCTATAAAACGCTGCTTAAGAAGGGCCGGCTTAGAGAATTCGGTGAGCGTAGTTGAAATACCACCGAGTAATCCTAAGCGCCAGCTAGTTCGTAACCGCCTATATGACCGTCTATGTGCAACTCAAAATTGCATAATTTGCCCCAGTGGTAGAGACGGTGATTGCATGAGCTCGGGTATAGTTTGTCTGATCTCCTGTAAGACGTGTGGTGACGAATACATTGGCGAAACGGGTAGACCCCTCTGTGTCCGCATGAAAGAACACCTAGCCGGCAAAAATAGACCAAATACCCCGCTAGGCACGCATAGGACCCAGAGACATAACGGGGACGACTTCGAAGTATGTGTCACGATCCTCGCACGCGAATCAAGAACACAGGCGCGAAAAACTCTCGAGGCACTCTGGATTAATTCCAGAAATCCGAAAATGAACCGCAGGGAAGAATGCCTCATTATCACGCATGATGTAGGGCAGTATATAAGACTGCTATTCTGATGAGTGGGGCACATTATACTTCCATAAAAAAAATGTGCGGTTGGTCTCTACGTGACATACTTAGTGGAAACCTCATGGGAAGCGGTGAGTGTGCAAAGCTGTGTTCAAAGTGATTGAAATCTTGGTTTGGGGTTTCTTTGTTTGGTTATGGAGGCGTCTGGCCGAGTAGATTGCTATCAACTTGACCTTTCCAGGCTCTGAGGATAACACCTCGCGTTTGCTCAACAAAAATACAAAGAAAGTCTAGCTTATATTTTGATACCTCTACACTTGGACAGCCCATCTTCACGAGTTGCGCGGTCCATAGCACACTTGTCATTGGTTTCCTTCCCTCGCAATTGTCGTCTATGGTGGTGGTTCTATTCGAACATGGTGGCAGGTGCGAGTCTCATACCGTGATCTGTAAAACAGCTGCAACTTCGAGTGCAGCCGATTAGCTTTGGTTACGAACACGCCAGCCCAACGGGTAGATAGCCGTCCTATGGGACGCCTGCATTGTCGCGAAGTTCACATTACAGTTCTCCTCCTTCATCTACCGCCTCTTCTTATTCTGGAACCGGCCATCTATATTTCGTTGTCGATTTATATCCTCCTGGATCTAGAAGATGTGACAGATTTCGAAGATCAGAGTTTCTCATTCCAGCTAGATAGTGAGAGTACCGGCTATATTTCAAAAGACATCCTTCAAGCGCTCTATGGATGGTGTGGGGTATTCTTGACGTTGTTGAATCTGCAACTTAACGGAGCACTGGGAGTGCCGTTGAATCGAAAAGGTGAGCGCGGACTTTTGGGACCTTCAGTTGGTCGGTGGCCTCCTTGAAAGGTCCGAATACGGCCCAAGCTGCTCTCTTTCTTCTGTCTAATTCCTCCTTCATGTTGTTTCCCTTGTTCATTGACTGCCCCAGGAACAGCTTTAGCGATATTGTGTCGCCTGGTCGACTCCCTCTCTTTTTCTATGGATATGGTAAGAGGTCGATAGAAAATCTCTATTCTCGTAGTGTAGTTCCGAAAACAGTCGGACTGAGTTCTTATGTGGGACGGGTCCAGTCCTTGGTCGACAATCGCTGATAGAATTGCATTCATTTCGACACTTCTTTCATAGTCGACAAAAGTTCGGACCGGGGGCCGGTGGTAAACTGTTATGTGGTTTGCGAGATGCTCATGTAAATTGTTGCTTCCAGCTTTAAGGAAGTCGGCTGTGATATCAACGGGTCCTGAAGCTCTGCCTCTTTTCATACTTTTTATCACAACTCAAACCTCCAGTAGAAGAATTTCAGGCGGTTTTTATCCAGCAGGTATTTTAGAGTTCGGGACGGGGATTATGAAAAGAGAAACGTTAGTGGTTATCGATTCGATATCATGGCATGAAGTTTTGATGTTCCCATCGTCGTTCATCAGGTCTGACAGCAGAATGTTATAATCGCACAAGTCCCGACGACGTTTTTTCGGTTTGGTTCCTTTCTTGGTGCTTCCAGTAGTTTCTTCTATCTCTACCGTTGTAGATCTTCCTGCAAAGCTCTTCTGCAGATGAAATTTATTACCAGCTGTGTTAAACGTGTTGTAATAAGATCAAGTTTCAGTCTCCTTCTCTTCTTGAGCAACTCCTTAGTGGTAACGGAGATGTGATTCGATTTTCTTGCCTGAGGAACAGAGGCGAAATGGGCACAACGTTTCAGTCCTTCGACAAGCAGCTCATGGTCTTTGGTCGGATGCTTCTTAATCTGCAAGTAAAGTTAGGATTGTATTTCGTTCAGAATGTTTCCGGCCTTTTTCCTCGTGGTCGATGAAGAGTTCTTTTCCAGCTTACGGTTGAAGTGATTCTTCGCGCGAAGAAGGCTGTGATCGGAACCAGCACAGAATGCCTGGACTACCAATGTGTCAACTAAGCACTTTCTTCTCTTTGCCACAATATGGTCGATTTCAGCATGAGTGGTGCCGTTAAGAGGCTCTCATGTCCAGCGGCGTCTTGTGGAAAAACGAGTTTCCATGGAAGAGAAGTGCTGCAGACAGGAGTCTTGAGAGACTGTTTCCATTCCCATTTTTTTCTCCTAATCCAAAATTTCCGATGTTGTACTCGCAGTCGTTGGTTTTTCCTATTCTGACGTCTGAGTTTCCGACAACAATTGTATAATACGCTTTATCATTGCAATTAACTTCTTTCATTTGATATTAGAACGCATCTAATTCATACTTTGAAGCTGCACCAGTCGATGGGTAGTATTGATAATTGTGATCTTCTTACGGCGCATCAGTTGAAGACGGAGGACGGTAATATGAGGGGAGAGGATATCATACAATTTGACAGGATGGACAGCGGACTGGTGGACGACAAAGTCTACGTGGCCAACATTTCGTGGCGGGACCCTTTCTCCGCGGATGACAAGGGTCTCGTGGTCTAGCTGGCGTATGTCGTTCTTCCTGATTTTCGGGTTTTGCAGCGCGATTATATGAAATTTTATGCGGCTTGCAGTTTGAAGGAGTGTGTGGAGATTGACGTCTGTGGGGAGTGATCTAGCATTGTACATACGTGTAGAGTACTAATTAACCTTTGAAGGGTGTTTATTCAGGTTTTCACAACGATGTGGATCATAGAAAAATGTATCTTTTCCGCAACGATTCCTTTGCTTTGAATTTCTACCAGTTGATTCAGAAGCGGTGCTACAAGCGAAATCAGGAACGAAACTAAGGGTGAAAAGTATTCGACTGCTCAAGGACGATGTAGAAGCCGAAATTCGCCTATCTCTTAACAAAAACTAATTTTGACTTTGATCTCACGAGCTTGCTAATTCTTCTTCATAACAGGGTAAGATGTGAAATACAACTACAATGATGATGAGATACTTGAAAGGCGAAACGAAAGACTCGCATGGTGTGATAGCGAATGCGCTAGCTCCCGGGAAGTGCAATATCGAGTTCGATCTCAACCGCAAACGCCTGCGGTGCGCAGTTTTGCAAATATCTAGACATCATTGCAGCTGTATATGTAATATATTTGCAATTTGCTACTAGTTCTTTTATATTGTTTGTTTAGGCGATGAAAGTACAATTTTTTGTTATAGTTGATAGTTAATAGCTATGTAGAACACTAAGAGAGGAATCTGCTGGTTATCGCTATCCAGGTCACTCCAATAGTTCAACGCAAGTTCACTCTGCACTGTCCTATTTACTAATTCTCAGCGATCCATGGAAGAAAAAGTAAGAGCGCACGAAATATTTAGTGAAATGTGAAGTCCTATAGTGGCCTAAACTGCCTGCAGGTCAGGTGTTGTGAAGATCTTGTCTTTAAAGGTTTCATCTTCCTGTTGGTCAATAAACTACGCATGACAATCATGAACATTTTAAAGCTGTTCTCTGCGTTTACTTACTGGGGAAACTTTATTAGCCACTGAATTATTGTTGTTTGCGAATATAGGGAAAAAAAACTACATGAATAATGAGTATATTAGATGATGGTGCTGCCCATAGATCGGCGGTTTGGTCAATCTGGTGAGCTTATCATCCTTATTTGGAACTGTGCTTGAAAAAGGTCGTACAACTGACTCGGTTGCAATAGTAGACGTAATTAGTCGAACAGTCATTCACTCCGCTCAATTGACCGGGATTTAACCTGAATCACGATCGCAGCACGGACGCATTTTCGCTTTCTTAACGGGAACGAGAACAACCCACTGCTCTCCTAACTTTCTATCTCAGAGCTACTCTCCCGTAAAGATATTTCGTGCTCGTCTCACAAATGCATCTTACATTAACTCAAAGCTCCCTCTATCAATCTGTTTATATTGTTTTTGAGTCTGAACAATTGAACCATATTCCAGTAGTATAATTGGAAAATTCTCTCATTTTTTTGTAATTAGTGTAAAACCATTATTGCAAAAAGCCTTCTTCTGAACATCGAAGTAAACGAAGAGTTTTTTCGAGCGCTCTATGTCGGTATGAGGATAATACTGTAGTATAAAATTGTGCATTGGGACTTTCGGTGTAAAGTTACCTGGTGACACTCTGATTTTTTTTCATACGGTTGCATATCAGAGCATCTATAAAGCATGCATTGTCCACGTTTTGCAATTCAGATGTTTTTTGTGATGTTGTTATTTCCACTGGTGACTTCACGACATGTTTTCGTTTCATCACCTTTTGATAATTTCAGAATGGAATGTCCTAAAAGAGTAAGTTATTTATTCTTCACTTTTTGAGGTGGCTATTCTTCTTTATTTTAAAGCTTAAAGACATTTTGAAGGCTGCTGCAGTAGAACTTTCGATTAGAATGGTGGAATCGGTGGGCGCCAAGAGGCAGGACGTTGTGTTTGATATGACTTGTGAAGGAATAAATGAGGTGCAGCAGTACTGTCTTTGCTTCTTTTAACCACTTCATTTTTTTAAACATACATTACATAGGTGGACAAATCGTATTCAAATTCTCACCTTGGTAAAACAGCGAATATTTCATAAGAGGTTCAGTTATTCAGTAGATAGAAATGTGAAAACTCACTCATTGGTAAGTATTTGACATGAAAGCTTCGCAAAAAACCGTTATCTTGGGTAGTAGTTGATGTACTAGAAGCCATGCCTTAGTAAATCGTGAATTATTGGGTTGTATTGACATTGATGATTGGAGTGCAACGAGCAGCGAGGACCGACCGTATCGTGTTTACTACTGGGCTGAAATTGGCATCACTTAACTGAAACATTTCAGCTTTTTCCGTGGGTAAACATTCCTTTCGGGATTTCCGAGATGGAACGGGAAGACTGCTACTATTCGTCTATGCTTGACCCAATTCTTGATGAGACTTCTGATTTCAGTTGTAAGCATAGAGAATATTTGGCGGGCATAACCCGCCTTACTGACACAAGGTACTTCGTTTATATTTTGCATCTCCTATGTTCTGTGTGTTGTATTTTGACGGTTTCCAAGTCTTACATTTAGAGTTCAACTAATGTGCTGTCGATTGCGTTCACGAGATGAATATAATTGCCAAGAGACAATTTTCAACAAACCGGTAGGCCTTACGAAAAGCACAGTGATCGAGTAAGTTCAGCAAACTAAACGACCTTCTTTCTTTGAAATCAGTCGTAATCGTTTCCAGTGCTTCTTCAACTTATTTTCTCGAATCAGACCTGCCAACTGACTATAAAATCGCTAACTAACACATACAAATTGTTTAAAGTAAGGCAATAAAATTTAATGTCGCTCACCTTATTTCTTACATAGGCCTTCTTAAATACATGGTAACTCAATCATTCAGGGTTCAATGGCCTATATTAAGTGCCACTTTTGGAAAGGTTTTTTGACGGTCTACAAGCCTATACATACACATTTATCTATCTATCTATCTATATATATATATATATATATATATATATATCTACGTATATAGATATAAATATAGATATATAGATAAAGATATATAGATATATGTGTAGTACCTAGGTTTTGTTATTTTTTATTCCTGGAAGGATTTTTGCAGTATTCTTGCAATTGAATCACAGTGGACAATTATTTTAGAAATGCAAAACAATTGAATAAAGTAATAGCTTGCTGGGTGCTGGAAGAATATATATGTAATATATATATATATATATATATATGGGTAAAAAAATGAATGCCTTTTATGATCATAAACAGGGTCGTTTTATCTTTTCAGTAGAGCTTTTCGAATATTTTATAGGTTGCTCTAGCTGTTTAAGAGATTTGCCTATTTATATATATATATATATGTATGTATGTATATATGCCTATATATATATATACATAGGTATATATACATACATACATATATATATATAAGAGCTCGTATGGCGCAGTGGTCGGAGGCGCCTGCAACACACACGTGGAATCGATCCCTGCGCCTATGGCCTACCAAGCCTTCCATCGCTCCGGAGTCGGTGAATTGGTACCAGACGTGTCTGGGTGGATAACTGCAATGGCTCGATACATCGGTAAGCCACTGCAAGTCATTGTAAAAGCCAGATATGCATTCAATCACCTCCAAACGATGCGTAATGAAGTCGAATGTATGGCGGATCCCTTGGGGACTGATCAACGATGACAACTTAATCTTATTGTCATGTTATACATATAATGTGATACGAGCACGAATATCCTATATGTATATATACATATATATATATATATATATGTTATATACATACATATGCATATATATATGTGGAACATTGTTGTTTTTATGCTATAACTCTGAGCTACTGTAAAAATTCAAGAAGAGTCCCACTATTTGGCGAAAGGAAGCAGAGGAACTATTTTTCTAGGCGTGAAAAGCGCTTAATAAACGCGATCCGTCTTGAAGAAAGCACATACATTGTAAGATTTTGTGATCTAGCACCACGGAATATTGGTGAGTTTCGTGCTAAAAATGAATATAGACAACCATTATTATGCAAGTGTGTTTAAGCTGATATCTACGATGATGTGAAGACAACGACCACTACGCATCATCTCTCGTCTTCAACAAGATCCTACTCGTTAGCACACCATTGCTACTTTTGTGAGGAATGAATAAAGGTGATTTAAATAGAAATGTTCTAGAAAGGCGGCGAGATTGTCAGCATTACCGTCAACAACTGCAACTCTGTCAACGACAGCTTCTCCACGTCGCAAGTCCTCAAACACACCATCGTCAAAGCGTGCTAATGGGACCTCCAAGAAACGAGTTGCGGAAACTTCCACGATGCCACTGCATCAGTCAAAACTATTCGAACTGGAATCTAGCAGTGGAAACTCTGTTTTGGAATCTAATGAAGTAAATATATTCCATGACACTCCGATTTCTACACAAAATTCTTATGAAATTTCTCTTATTGAGCTTCATATCACCTTTTGTCTACACGTTAACAAATAGAAATAGTTCATTTAACAAACAATTGTTCGTGGTGGATGTGATTAGATTTCAGCACGTCGATAAGGCAGATAGTAAACTCACGAAGAAGTTCCGTCCCTCTGGCCGTTCATCGCCCTCTTTATCATCAAAAGTAAAGAATCATACGTTGGCCGACTCAATGAGCATTAAAGCAAATTCCGTAACAAAATCAAAACGGGTACCATCAAATGGTAGGTCGAAAATCTGGTAACAAACAGTTCATAGAAGGGGCAAAAACTGGATTTCAGGTAAGAAGAGTGTTCATATTTTAATAACACTTTCAGCTGTTGTGCACAGTGAAGACGCACTGGTTGAGGTTGCTCAGGAACATATTCTCAATCAGCGTAAGGATGATTACCCAACAAATGTCGATCAGATTATCAGGTGACAATTTTCAAGCAACATACAATGCCTAATGCAAAGTGTTACATCGTAATCCATTTCGTGGATGTTTGACAATGTTTCAACTTAGAAAAATTCAACAATTTCCATCGAAATCAGCAGAAAACCTGTTCAAAGACGTAGTTGCAAATTTGGTGAACACGACGATATCCACTGGTACAATTGCCGTCGACCAACGTGAGTCAATTTAATATTCACCTTTGAAGATTAGCGTTGACAGCTTCTTTCGAAATAGCGGACTGTGAAACGAAGTAGTTTTCTGCATAAGTGATGTAAAATCTTCTTCGTTGCAAACAGTACACAGAATTTTCCAGAGCAGACGAAGGCATTTGCTCGTTCGTCTTCGATCCCTGTATCTACTGCTGTCCCAAACATTCATTCGAATGTGAACTTCGTAGAGGAAGCAATGGAAAGAGTCGGCAATAAAGCTGAAGAGCCTTTCAGTGAAATCAAAGCTCAAGAGAACTTTACTAATGAAATCACTGGTACATTGTTGGTTTTTTTCCTTTGTTCTGCTCAGTTTTTCGTTAGGTGCCCTGAGTTTTGTGACGTTGCTAGTAATTAACTCTAGTATTTCCCAACTATTTACAGTTCTCAAATTAAAGAAAGAAACCGTTAAATTGCTTAAAAGATAGAGTTTCTCTATACTACTGAACCATTATATTAAACGAGAAAAGTTGCGGAGACACGAATGCAAAGTGATACAAAAAGGACCTTTAGTGATATTACATGCGGTCTACTCAGTTCTGGACTGCAAAAGTGTTGGAATGCATATTTGCCCTCTCCAGTGATCTAACGGTAGCCCATCGATGTACCGAATCGGTCCTTTCATCCCCTAAACAAATTGGTTAGGTATCGATTTGACAACCCCTGAGAGATTTGTTGATTTGGTTTACCCGTGGTACAGGGTGGAGCCAAAGACCATGCGTACGAAATGGCGCTCATAGTCGTTACGCTACACACGCTCCTGGGTTAGTGATATTGGTTAATCAGTGAGCGAAAAATTTATCTACGTCTTTAATTTTGTGCACATTATGTTATCTTTTTCAGTTAACGATTTGTCATTGATCACATTCCATGACGAGGAGTTTCCAAAAGCTAGTGAGAAAAAGTTCGCAGTTCCAGCTAAGTTCAAAGTCTCCAAGACGGATCTGGTTAGCTGGTTGTTTTTGCTTTTTATGCATGTTTTCTTAAAAGTTAATTTTCGATGAATTTATGTGCAGCCGTTGAAAACCGGAGTATCAATGGATGACTTCGTGTTCCTGCGCTCCATCAATTCAGATGGACACCGTCGTGCTCCACTTCGAACACACCGACCTCATGTTGTGAGCATACACGTATTGAATGAGTAGAACATTCATAAGACCGAGAAACATATTCGAAATATTGTAGGGAACATTGGAAAGATATACCTATTGTGTATTAATCATCTCACACAATGTATTAGTGCCGATCATTTCACTTCTCTAGTCATCAGTTGTATGTTTCGTTGCACTTTTACGCTTACCTCGTCGCAGATCCCCACTCATTTTAATTGCTGATCACCGAGATCTAATGAATGTGCATGTTGTTTTCATAAGATCACCGATGTGTTCCTCATTCCGCATGTTGTCAGCAAGCACACCGGACGTCCTTTTATAACTCACATACCTCGGTACAATCAATTCCGCGCTGCTCGTTCATCACTACAATACAACGAATATCATATGAATGCTACATAAAGTGGTGAAAAAACGAGTACGAGTTTCGTGTGAGTAATCATGACTTCATCAGAACACTTACTTTTGTTGTGTGAAAATCCACGTTCAGTCTTTGAACATTAACATTAATGCACTGCATTTAAACAGGATGGATTTTTCTTCTGGCCTTTTACAAAGAATGAACTAACCTGGTCATTTTTCTCTGTTTCCTGTTTTATCACTGGTTATTCGAGTAAGTACGATTCCAATCAACTTTCGTGAAACCATCTAACATCTGTTGTTGAAAATAAACAGTAGTAAACAAAGCTATCTTCAGATTTCCTATTATGACTTGAGAAATCAGTGCATACCATTTTGAATGTAATCACAACTGACGAACTGACACTGTTCATTTTCTAATAGCCATTTCTATTCAGGAAATTTGGTCCTCTGATGAAGATGAAATGAATGGTGGTGACAGTTCTTTGGAACATACAACTGTAAAAACAATCAGACGAAGAAAAGTAGGTCATATTTACATTAAATACATTCATTGCTGTTTAGCAACTACAATCATTGGCATGGCTCAGTTCCACCGATTTCGCACCATGACGCAATGGTGTCGACGTTCATGTTCTATACAGTTCCTCTTCAATTTCCACGAATTGCTGTTTGCATCCATATCTATAACTTTGACAAATTTGAAAGACTTAAAAGCAGGTATAACAAATTGTATACACCGTCAAAGAACGACCGTGTCAACTTCACTTCGGTGAAAGACAATGGGAACTCTGACTCGTTCAACATTGTCGAATACATCAATATTTTAGCTCATGGGGCAATATGCTTCGTTTCAAATATGCCTACTACTATCACAATTTAGGAACAATAGCATTTGGAAATTTTAAAATGAGATTAAAGCGATTAAGATCGCACTTGGATACTTCCTCTCTGATTGCGCGGGCTCCAGCATAATCTCCATCTTCTCGGAGTTTTGGTGATCTAGCCATTTTGTTCCTTGGAGTTCCGAGGTCACCTAGGCCAAAGTCTACCCCAGTTCTTAACCACGCAGTCACCACCTTTGTGGATTAGAGGGAGATTTGCCAGCATGCGACTTTGATACCAGGACGGTGGTGGATCTTGAGATATTGGTTTTACCCCTAGCTGTGCTCCTCGATAGAAACGCCGGGCACCTTCTCAGCTTATGAGACCCTGCTAGTGTAATGATTCCCCCTGTACATCGCAGTGCGACACCCAGGAACACTTCCCAGCCGCGATGGGCGCTAAACCGTTGGGAGGCGAATTGTCATAGTTTCGCAATATGTGGTACTCTTTAGTCATCAATGGAAATGCACACAATAACTGCCAAACTGCTGAGGAGCACGAGACGGCAAGCTAATTTTGTTGAAAACAACGATGGTGAACGTAAATAGGATCTAACAGAGCAATTTCAAGTGTTCGCAATTCCACTCAAAAAAAAGAGAAATATCGACGGCAGCAATGTCCAAGTATCACCACAATCTGATCAAGACTGAGTGATCGATATGCACTTTCCAAAAGACGGCAATTTAGAATTGGTTTTTCTCAATCGTTTAACCCATCCATGGCTTTTTTTGATCCCCCACTTCTAGACCGTCATTAATGTGAAATAAATTACGGAATCCGAAATCCTACCTTAGTTTATGACGGCCATAGAATATGTACATTTTTTAGACTGTCAAGCTACGCAAAAAGGTCACTCGAGCTCATCGCTTACCAACAACTAATAAGCCTAATGAAGTAAGTAAGGAATGATTCTGTAGACAAGGTCTCTGAAATATGAAAGAACACAGAGTTACTTTGTGAAAAATCAGCTTCACGTTTCAAGTGCTAAGTGATCAGCAGCCATGCAACATCTACTGAAATCCAGATCTCTATAGAGACTCTGTGACAAGGCTGAGAGAAAAAAGCATGTTATTGTGAGACTGTTGGCAAAGTTCCTGTTTTCACGCGCGGATTTTTTAATAGATCTGTTTATCATTGGCTCCTCTACAGTTTGTTGATTTTAGTTATCCACTGATTATGCAACAACGTTATTAGAAGAGAAATCCTCAGATGCTACTATTGAACCAATCACGAGGTAAATGCTTGAACGTCATTGTTCCTTCACAATCCTGCGGAAGTTGTTTTCGTTTTATTTCTTCACTTACACATGAGTACAGCTTAAATTTGCTATGTTGAAGCTGTTGTAATTAAAGACCTTATGAGTGCTCTGACAGGAACAGTTCAAGAAGAATTTATGTGTATTTTGCTATTCACAAGACATTCACTGAAACAAAGATGGAACCAAGTAATATCTTAAAGTGGTTACTCTGATCTTCTTTTTTGAAGGCCTTATCTTCTTTGTAGAGCGAGTATGATGAAGAAGTGCCCAAAGTAACAGCGTTTGTATAAAAAAAGATCAACACTATGTGAACGAAGATGAAGTGTTAACGCAGTGGCAATTTTTCACTAAGGGAAGTGCCGCGATTGCAAGTAACGACGGCGGCATCTCTCCGACGAGACCTACCATCGTCAAGGAAAGTTGTAGAGTCAATGACCCGCAAAGTAGACAACGCACATTTCGTGGACGAGGAGACTGTCGTGAGTCCGTTCGAGGATGAAGGACAGGTCAGTACTCGCCGTGCCATTTTCCATGAGAAAGCGTAATCCTCATTCATTTGTCAAGTAGTGTTTTTTCACTCGTAATAGCTGATTGAACCCTATTTTTTACTGTCAGTGCAAAGTAATTTGCAGTTAAGATATCATTACTTAAACGAGGCTAGTTGGGTGTGGATTAGGAGCTCAGGTTTTGCATGTAAATTAGAGGTAAAGTCGTTCGTCTTCTCAGCAAAAACATGGCGCATTGTTTCTTCAAGTAGAACAATTGCATAGATGAACTGTTTTCCCGAAATTAAAGTTAGTGTTATGTTTTGCTTTAAGTTAACGCTCGGACAATCAAGAAAGGGTTAGACCTATTGTTTTTTTTATCATAAGTGACTTGTTTTCATTTTATTGCTGGAAATAAAGTCAATTAATTCTGACCAACAGCCCTAGCAATGAACCATTCTAAAGAATGCGACGCAGGTTCTAAGTGGAATGCATCATAACAGTGGAATTCATCCAAATCTCTACTTGAGAGGAGACGAAGACATCGAGGAAGTAATAATGAAACTATCAGCGGCAGCCTCAAATATACGAAGGGCTCCGGTGCGCAATTCAAATCCCAAGGAGCAGAAATCAGATAAAAACGCTGGAGAGTCAGGTTTTTCGTTTGCATTTGTAGCCAGAGTTAAAGTAACCATTTTTCAGACAACTTATTTCAGATGACCGCAGTGAGAAGCTGGTTAAAGAGAAGGGGACGGTTAAAGCTAAGGACGGAAACAAAACGTATACTCCGAAGAGAATTCCTCCAATTCCAATGCCTGGTGGTTTTTACCTTCTTACATATTTACATTGTCATTCGCTCTTCGTTGAATTTTACCAAAATCTATGCTACACTTAATTTTATAAGGAAGACAGAAACCGGTTTGCTTTGGTAGCTTAAAATTTTGAACTTATGGGTGCGAAGAATTCTTTAGAGGCATATTTAGTAGCGTTTGCCTTGAAATCTTTGTTTGGAAGTAGTTGTCGAAGTGGTCGAAAATGTAAGTAAGTATGATCGCTTAAAAGTGGTTTTATGAGCGGGGTGAATAAGGCAGAATTTCGCCGATCATTCAACTTCTGCAACATTAGCTGTGCAAAGTGTAGTCAAGCTTTCTCGTTCAAGAAAATCAGACAACTTCTGTTGCCAACATTTAGGTACGTATACCGCAATTTCTGTAGAGCTTCGCTAATTTCCTGACAAGAGTTCTGTTTTGTGATAATATCGCCAGGATTAAGAGCATTGCAACAGATAGTTTTATTTGCTGACCAAGAAAGGTCACCACAACCATCAAGTAGTTTTTCGAGAGGTAGTTTCGATGGTTAATTTCAGCTGATGGCTGCCGTCAACTACTGGTAGGGCGGTCGCGACATTCTCGGATATGAAGGCTCATATCTCTAGACGATACTTATTCAATTTTTGTTACTTGATCTTATTAAACAGTTTACTGTGGTGATGTTCCATATCTACTTTGGATTCATTGCAAATTATTAAGAAATGGCAATATTCGAGAATCAGCACATGGAGGATGTGATAGTGGAGGATATAACGAAGGTTGGTACCGGCAAGGAAACCGAAGCACAAGATAACAACAGAAAAGGGAGTAGCGAAGAAGATGAACTTGCAGGTTTAGGCTTTTGTTTTTTATCAGGCTGTTGTCTCAAATAGTTTCTGTAAGGCAAAATAGGGTATTTTTAATGCCGCATTTTCCAAAAAGTTTTAAACACGCTCTTACTCTCCTTAAATAAAGAACAATACAACAAGTATCGAATTTTCGAAGTCGATTGACTGCAGATGATTCTGTTGCTCTCTCTAAAAAGTTCCGAATAATGCTTGTAGGGCGTGTATGGCGCATTGTTCGGAGGCGCCCTACAACACACACGTGGAATCGATCCCCACGCTCATGGCCCACCAAGCTTTCCATCCTCCCGGGGTCGCAAGTCGTTGTAAAAGCCAGAAATGCATTCAATAACCTTCAAACGATGCCTGATGGAATAGAATGCAAGGCGCATCCCTCAGGGATTAATCAACGCCGAAATTTTTATCCTTTATCCTTTATAATGCCTGTATATTATATAATATAGGATTTAGCAACCTCATTGCACTTTAAGGGCTTAAGCTTCTGCAAATTCCAGCTGCTCAAGCCACTTTTCTTTTGCACAAAAATATAAGATGAGAAGACATTTTTTTATGACATGTGAAATGTGCTATAATTCAGACGTTACCAAAACAAACTTGGTGCTGGTGAATTCCAAGTCATTCATTGGAGGTGATGTTACGACGGCACAGGCAGAGGTTCACAGTATATTCCAAGTTTAAATCGTTTTCTATAAAAGTGGTCGTCTCTTTTTTAGGTTTAATTCAAGCAAAACAAACTATCAGATGGTTGTGTACTCTAAGAGAAATGCTAACAATGAACTTCTTATGCGCTATGCTTTATTTTCTCTCATTTTCCTCAACGATGCTCAATCTTTTTCTAATTCATAGAATTTTTAAAACCAAGTGGAAGTTGGAATTTTAGATAGCATTAAAGTGAGAAAGCTGATGAAATTTTGCAAAAATCTTCTACACTTTTCCAGATTGATGAAACAACGACAATTTCCACCAGGGTTCCTTCAACTACTCAGTATAACACTGCCACTTTTTATCATACTCCAGTTCCAAAACCACCCAAGAAAGAAAAACGTGAGTGCACTTATATTTTTTGTAGGAAGGAATGACAGTAACTATAGACTTGGTACACATAGTTAATATTAAATCTCGCCAGTGTCACTTGTGAGCATTTAATTCTTGGTAACGTCGTGATAGGTGTAATGGAGTCATTGATGAGGCTAACATTGGAGAAGGAGCATATGCGACCTTTATGAACTGTCCCAACGAATATTTGGTATTTTGCAGTTTTAACATTCTGCACCAAGGATGTCGCTGTTCGTGACAATCGCAATATGGTGGTCGCTTGTGGAGGTGAGCACGATGTTTGGCTGCCCAATAGATGCCCTCAAGGAGCCGACTGTTTCGTTGCACAAGATAGCACTTACAGATTGTGTTGTCCCGTGTCAACAGGGTGACCGCTTTATCGAAACTTATTAATTGTTTTAATGCTTTGAAGAAAATACATGTGACGAGTAAACCACTGAAGTCTTCAATTCATATATGGGCAGCAAATCTAAGTAATCTATCTCTTGTTTGCTCATCACATCTAGGTTTTCAGCGGGCAAGAGAACAAGGAATTTTCTTCATAAGTGGCCATTTTATCTTGTACTTGGCCTGTTGTCTATCATAGTAATTAACTATAGGGGAGGAAGTGCACACAATCCTTTGGCGGAGCAAACATTGACGGAACACTTTTAGATATTCGATTAAGAGATATAGGCGAAACGGACTTTCGGGTAGATTGGTGTCTTCTATTTTTTGAACATCGTCTTGTCGCTGATTAAATAACTACTCCACAGGTAGTATTACCAATAAGTATTGCGGCATGCGGACTTCCTGAACTTGAGTCGTATTCGTTATGTCCCACCTAGCGTTTTTCATTCAGTGGGTAGCGTTCACTTCCTCCAGTTCTCTGCGGCCCATTTAGTTTCCTTGCAATTCTTGTCTCGCCCATGTAACAACCACACAGCGTGAGAGATTGAATAATAATCTATATGTAAATGAAAGACTTTGGGTATATTTTAAAAAAATACTGTGCAGTAGTCATGCATTTAGTCATTCCTCTTTTTTTCCTTTTCTCTTACCTTTTTTCTTGAAACAGTTGCGAAAGAAACGAAACACGTCAATGTACTAGTTTCGAAAAAACTAGGAAACACTCTTCAGCTGTGAAACTAATTTTTTTCGCCCGTACAAGAGGTTCGCAATTTCATGTGGAATTTAATAAAGAATTGAGGACCGGTTTATCCTCGCCGCTTTCCTCACTTAGAAATGTTTATTTTAAAAAAAGAGCATCCAAAAGAATGGCAATTTATTTGAATACGTTAATAACCAGTAATGGAATCGCATGATTAAGAAGCCTTAAAATTTTTGCATCAGTTTAGCTTTCCTTCCTTGCGGAGATCACTGTAGGAATTCATCTCCACATTACAGTGATACACTAGATAAGAAGCAATGAGAAACTAAAGAGAAGAGAAAAAGAAAACAAAAATAAACACAAATACAGCGTTCTTATACGAGAATCTCATCGATCAGATGGAAAAAGATAGGAGTCAAACAGAATCCTATTAACTGGAACCTGGAATTAACTGGAGTGGAAAGAAACGAGGAAGTAAACTACCTAGAAGCCAATTTTTAGAAAGGTCTGTGGGTACAAACGCATGTTCCTGTAGGGAAGCACAAACATCACTTCTAGAATGAGCATTTGTAGAGGATAAGGGAAGAAATTGAGAGTCACTTTCGGTCCAAATTCTAGACTGCCAGTTGCTTAATTTTGAAGCTCTTCATGAACTTCACATACTCGTCGTATCGAACCTTTGCATAACTAAAGTTTGTTAGCTTACTAAGATATCGGTAGAGAGCTTATCAGTACTTCATACCTGATATAGTCGAAATCCAGTGTTGAATTCTGAGATTGAACTACGGCCCAAACTGACCACAAAAGATGAGAAAGCTTAATAATTTTCGTGGCAATTTCCTGGGATACCTTGTCCATTTGTTATGCAATTTTGCGTTTTCAAAATCGCTCAAATTACAAACTATCTCTACAAATCATGAATCATTTTTGGGCACATAACTAAAAATTAGGCGCGTAACACTGGTGTTCTCAAATATTTTCAGCTTCCTTCTTTGCGAAACTTAATCGATTTACGCAGTAAACAAGTCAAGAAAGTCAGCCGAGGCGAGTATATTCAATGCAAGTGAAAAAATAATTCTCTTTCGCACGACACGATTTCACAACTACTGCACGGTTCCCGGCACTTCTTGGATTCGATTAGTTTCCTCGCATCCCCCATCCACGAAACTCTTCGAATTTTCGTGTGTGATTTTGGTAGTTTTTTGAGAATTGAAAGAGGAAAGAATTGGAACCTCGGCTTCTACATCATCGTTAAGTGGTTGGTTATTTGTTCATTCTCAGTTTCGTTTCTGATTTCGGTTTTTCATCGTCTACGAATCAACTAGTAGGAAAACCGACCAAAGGATTCGTCGCTGAAAACATACCTCCCTCGGATCTACACCGTCGTGAAGACATGGATACGCGTTTGCAAGGCTAAATCAGGACTACACGGAGAAACAAGTTGTGCAATCAGTTATAGGCTAGCCTCAGTACCACGCCCACTGGGTGCTCCTGTCTATGAGGTTAGGCGGTGAGACGACCGATGAGAGACTACAAAATCTCGCGTTATGCAACGTCATTAGAACCGGATCTGACGAACACAAGCATGACACGTTATAGAAATTGTTTCTTACTCTGCACGCCCGAACACTCTCTACAGGTGCCGATCTTCACGCCCTTCTTGTAGCCGCAGATCTCATCAAATTTCATGTGATTGCACAATAAGAAACAAAAGTCAAGAGCACTGAGATACGCCAACTAGATCACGAGACACTTGTGATCCGTGGAGAAAAGGTCCCGACACGAAATTTCAGTGGTGCAGTGCTTGTTGTCCACCCGTCCCATCGTCCATCTCGTCCGTTCATACGAGACCCTTTCTCCTCGCACAGCCGTCCTACATCTTCAACTGATGCGTTATAAGAAGAACACAATCATCAAATGCTACTCACCGACCGACGCAGCTGATGAGTACGAATTAAATGCGTTCTACTATCAGTTGTTAGTTGTGGTTGTTGTCAGTTATATCCATAACCTGACAAAGAGAAGATGGTGCCTACTTGACACATCGGTAGTCCCGTTGTTCTGTGCTGGTTCCGATCACAGCCTTCTTCGCGCGAAGATTCTCTATTCCTTCGCAAGCGGGAAAACAATTCATGTCATCGACTACGAGGAAAAAGTATAGCCGTATGCGCCGAGAACATTTTAAACGAAGTCCTGTTCAAACGTGACTGGCAGATTAAAGAAGACCCGATTGAAGACTACGAGCTGCTTCTCGTAGGACTGAAAAGTTGTGCCGAATTCGCCTCAGTTCCTCAAGCAAGAAGGTCGGATCACATTTCCATCACTACTAAAAAGTTGCTCGAAAAAAGAAGGAAACTGAAGCTTGATCCTACTGCAACAGGTTTAACATGGCTAGTAATAAATGCCAACTGCAGAACAGCTTTGCAGGAAGACTTACATCTGTACAAGCAGAACTAACTACTGGAAGCAGCAGAGAAAAGAAGAACTATGACAAAATGTATGGAGGCTTGTGTGAATATAATGTTCCGCTGATTAACGAAGATGGAATCGGATCTCGCTATGATATGGAATTAATAATGGAAACGTTCTACACCCACCTTTTCCGCTCCAAAGTCCCCGTCCCGGACTTTAATAACTCCACTGGAGAAAAACCGCTTGGAATTCTTCCGCCTGAGGTTCGAATTGCGATAGAAAGCGTAGAAACAGGCACAGCCCCAGGACCATCGCAATATCATCGCAGATTTCCCTAAGGTTAGAGGCCACAATTTACACGTACTTCTCGCAGATCATATGCTAGCCTACCTCCAAAAGGAAAAAGTCCAAGACCAGTGGAGGACATCGAGCACGGCTATCCTGCTCAAGAAAAGAGGCCGAAGGAATCTTCGTAACTATCGTCCTATATGCTTGTTAAGTGTACTCTACCAAATCTTCACGAAGATTATCCTCTCGCACATATCAAGGATATTGGATGAGGCGAAACCAGTTTATAAGCAGGATTTCCAAAAGAATTTTGCTGCATGAACCGCGCCCAACCTGTGTCCATGGTCATCGAAAATTTTTTGGAAATACCACCTCCCTCTAACCCGAACCTTTGTCGACTATGAAAAACGTTTAACAGTGTCGATACGAATCCTATCGGCTCTCGTGTACCAAGGAGTGGACGCGTTAACTCTATTTGACTGTTATCGTAACTGCACTACAGAAATACAGCTTTCCTATTAACCTCTTACCATACCCGTAGGAAAAGGGGTTCGACAAGGCGACACACTATCGCCGAAGCTGTTTAGTGCTGCACTGAAGTGGGTAATGAAGTCACTCGATTGGAATGAGAAGTGCACACGTATTGATGGAATATTCCTATCAAACCTTAGTTTTGCCGAATACATTGTCATTTTCTCAAGAAGTACTAGCAAAGCAGAGACGATGGTGGACGAGCTCAACGAGGCGAGGAAAAGGATCAGACTTTGCATAAATCGAAAGAAGACCCAGTTCACGAAAAACCCGTGGTACGAAGGCGGAAAAATTGAACTGGATGGTTCTTTCACTGCAGAGACCATTTCGTACGTATACCTTTGGCGATCAATGAACACGGGAAACAACATGAAAGAGTGACTAGACAGAAGAAGAAGAGCAGTTTGGGCCGCATTCGGACCTCTCAAAGAAGCCGCCGACCAACTGAAGGACCCAAAAATCCGCGCTCACCTTTTGGATTCAAATGTTCTCCTGCTGCTCTGTTATGGTGCAGAGACGTGGGCTGATACTCTAACCACGTCAGAATCTCCGCACTACTCACAGAGCACTCGAGCGATCTCTTCTGAAGTATAGCCTATTTGAAATATAGCCTGCACTCTCAATGTTAAGCCGGAATGCGAAGCTCTGGTCTTTGAAATCTGTCACATCTTCGAGATTCAGAAGAATATATATCGATGGCGAAGAATGGATGGGCTGGTCACATAACGAGAAGAACAGACGACAGATCGACGAAAAACTGCAGAATGGACTCCACGAGAATGCAAACGCCTCTAGGACGCCAGCTACTCGAATGGCCGGACACTTATTTTACGAATTTTCTTCGGAGGAATCCTTCACTTTCTCGACATCATTTTTATCGCCACTTAAAAAAAACATGCATAGAAACATTCCTTCTATAAGAAAAATTCGAAACGTAAATCGTCTAATTGTTTACACGATAAAGCCAATCATTTCCACTTACTGCTTGAAAAAGAGGACATCTATCGGTCATCTGGTTCAGTCGCTTTTCATCAACGCGTCCATACCTCTCTTTCAGGTATATCCTTAGAAAGCCCCGAATACCATCCTGATCAGGACAACGAGAATAATCGGGGTTTTCAACTCCTTAAATACATTTATGTAGCGGGATTACGAAAAAGTAGAAGAAGAAGAAAGAATTCAGGATTTGGAGCTGACCCGCAAATTCGCATAAAAGGTTAGCAAGATCGAAAATGGTGTAGTTGTAGTCGGCGTACTCATAGTCAATAAATAGAACTCGTTCTGAAACAGGACCATTTTCTCAAAAGTTTCCCACTTAATTGTCTTACAGTTTTCTTCGCTCATGTTATAATTTTACTGGCTCCATAAATACCTTGATTGGAGAAAAATGGAAAGTTCATTAATGTCGCTTGTTAGATTTACTCATCTGTGATGAAATCAAAAGTTTTCGCGTGAAAGGCTAATTATTCGCCAAGTTACGAGGAACTTATGCCACAGTGTATGGTGTAGAAAGGTGTAGAAAGTTTTCAAGCCAAATATGCATTTTATTGAAGAAGAAGGATGTCACGTACCGGAAACTGGGTCGAAAAGTATGTTATGCACTAGGAGATCATTGTGGCAAAAAGTGATTTCTTCTTCCAGTAGACTCACAATTGCTTGTATTTTCTTCAACTGATTGGGCAGCTCACCAACAAAGTCGATGTTCGGCTTAAATTAAGCTTCGGAAGCCATTTCTTAAACAATTCTACGGCTGTATATAGATAAATAGACAGATAAGTTTTTGTGTTTAGGTGCTGATAGAGTAGGGACCACCTCTACCTTAAGAACGGTTATATAAGTTTTTATAAGTTTATAAAATCATCTGCACTTCTTTGTAATAGTGAGAATTGATTGATTTTAAAAAGTAACACACAAATTTCAGGTTAAGAAAAAAATGTGAAACATTTCTGGGTTTTGAAAAAATTCCCAAGGACTCCTAGGCTCGAGCTTAAAGTTAGCATATGGAACAGATTATATATCGTACGAAGCCAGTGTGAAAAGGCTGTCACCGAAGTATGGATGCTACGCTTTTATCAGAGTAGATAGCCAGATAGAAAAAGTGTTATAACATCACTAATAAAGCTTAACGGGTTTTGTAGAACAAGAACGAGAACAGGTACCCAAATTATTGTATGGAAGACCTCGTGGTTGAATAACTGCAGATGAAGAAAAAAGGCTTTGAATGGTCTTGAGATTATAGAGGTAATCTGGAAGAGTTACTGAACCTGGGTAATGTATAAAAGAATAATTTCAAATGATAAGAAAAGGAAATAGGCTGAAGGTGATCCAACGCTCGAATACAAGAAATACGTTCGTAAGACAGAACACTAGTGACCACTAGAATATTTAACTGGGTTCTCGGCGAAACATTGCGACCGTGAGCTCACCTACTGATAAAATTGGTGGCAAATATGTAAATGCCACTTTTCAGCTTTTGGTTCCCATCGTCGTCGCTGCGTATGAAGCCACTTTTTATAGGTTAAAAAGTAAATAAAGGAGAAAAACCAATTGAAAGAGGAGTAAGCCACACACGACAAGCGATTAGGTAAATTTGAAGCGTTAAGTGTTGCTAAATGGCACAGTTACACATGTACACATAGGATGAAATTAACTGCTTGGGTGCTTGAATGGCCAGACTTCACTGGTTGTGCGGGTCCTAGCATAATTTCCGTTTTTCAGAGTTTTGTTGGTCTAGCCATTGTGGTTTCCTGGAGTCCCGAGGTCAGCCGCCTGGCCATGGTCTGCCCTAGGTCGTCACCACCTCAGGCACCACCATCCCTGTGGATCAGAAGGCGATTTGCCACCATGCGACCAGTATCACACCAGAGCAGTGATGGTCCTGGTATTGGCTTACTCTTAACTAGTCTTCCTGATGGAAACGCCGGAGTCCTTCTTAACTTGAGAGACCTTACCGGGGAATGAATCCCCCGCTGTACATCACAGCCCGACTATCAGGAACACCTAGCCACGATGAGGCGGTAAACGGCTGCGTGGAATGAATTTAATTAGAAACAACTAATTATCACTCGCAGTCTTATAATAGCTTACTTTATAATAATTAGCTGCTATTTATAATTTATAATGAAATTAATTGTAAACAACAAATATCCAAAAAATCGATAAATTTATGTTGCGCGATGAAGTTTTTCAAAATTTAAGAAACAAACTGATAAATCCGCAGTATCAATGTTGTTGATGAAATCTCGGATTTTTCGGAATGGGAATAAATCGTCAGGTTCTATTACTGGAACTCCTTCCATGTTGTGATATGTTGCCATAGTTGAGCATATTCTTCTATGAATATCAGAATAGTTATTATGATGACCGATAGTTAAAATTCGGGTCAAAGTTGACCACTGTTATCATAGTTAGAACGTTGTGAGCTCACAACAACGAACGGCAAGAAAAATCCATATTCGTACTTTTGCATAGAAGGATCTGTAAGGTCGTCTACAGTGATGGTAGATCCGGGGAGGTAACCGCATACAATGCCATTTATAAATCGTGCATGGAGAGGAGCGGCCAAGTGATTGCGGGCAAGTTTCTCCATAGCTTTTAACTCGCGGTCTCTAAATGACACACAGGTTGGGCGACCATATAGTTGTATTCGTGAAGAAAGAATTCAACGACACTCGAGCTTTCGCATCAACTACAACTTTGGTGAATGTTTCACATTTTTGAGGATGACACGTTTTCGACGGGAAACACATCTATGCTTTATTACACTAACCGGTCAATGAAGTTTTCCGTGTTTCTACCAAACACTCTAAATACTATCCTGTCAGAAGGGTCGACGAATGCAGAAAAAATCTTGTTCGTTATTCCAACTGTGTATACCTGCAATCAATGCTTAGGTGGAAAGTACCACAGAATTCTAACATATAATTTGTTACGAATCCTTATCATTTGAAAAAGTTTTCGAGGTGGAGACTCATTAAACTACTCAGCGCTTTCCATTTGAAGGGCAGGCTTTTAAACACTGAGAAAAAATGGCTATGTAGTTAACTTGACACGTTTGTGGATTCACGAGAAGGTCGCTTCGTGTTTTTTGCATTTTCGTGAACATTCATGATGTTTTTTCCTATATGCGAATTATACTCTTCACGTTGAATCAACCGAAAGCTTAATAAAAACTGATGGTGAAGTACCATACGGTTTCAGGGTGCGTCCTGCGAATTAGCTCAGGTGTGCTTTGTGAGAGTCCAGCCTTATGGCAGACGTTGGTGAATTAACTGTGAGTACCCTGCTGCTGAAAAGGGCAGAATAGGGCATTAAACGAAAAATTTGGTGCTTTCCGTGTTCCTTTAACAACCCCAGCGGGTAGCTCTGACATGCGGCAGGGATTTATGGAAATTCTACTGGTCCCCCCACAAATCGCTTGATGATTATGTGGCCTATAACGGGAACAAACGACACTGTATCTCTGTTGATTGTAAGTGACAACATTAGACCGATGCCCCAGTTTACTATTTGATATTATTATTGGTTGGAGATTAGGGCAGGATTTCAACCTGTTTCTTAAAATTGTGTATCTCAGACCGACCAAAACACACTTTACTAATCGAAATACGAATTATCAGCATCTACACATTTTCTTGGTAAAATTCTTTTCATTCTGACTGCATAAAGCCTTTAAGTTTTCGAAGCGAAGAATTCGTTGAAGGCGGTTTCCGCATGGGCTTGGTTTTTTAAGGATTTCTTGAAAAAAACTGTCGAGATACTTAAACAAGTGCTAGTCGGCATTCGGCATGCGAGACATCGAGCGATTATGGTGGACGAGGGAAAATTTTTAAGAACGGCTTGTTCAGCTCTCACAGCGTTGACTGTGAGCTATGTATCAATGCACCGATGCACTGCTCCGAATTTGAATCCGTAGAAGCAGATCTGTAGAAATTTGCAGTTTTGATATCAGAAATTTTAACCTTAGAGGTGGGTAGAGCACTGGTGATGATGCCGTTCACTCCGAGCAAAACCCTAGTTCGATCCGCTACGGCCCTTTTACAAGATTTTCGTGAAATCTGGTAACTTTCTCCAGTACACGTGGGAACTTGCCACCCTGGTTATCACAAGACTCGGAAACGAGTTGGCTCGTTTAGCACTCAACGACATATGAAAAAAATCCTCAAGAAGTAGACGAACTCCAGATACGAAAAAGAGATGCTTGGAGCGAAGGTCCATAACATATGGTTTGCATTCCTATATGACGTTCGAAAAGGAAGCTGTATCCAGAACTTATACAAGAAATCAAGTTTAGAAAACCTTAATTTCCGAGCAACATAATACATTCCCACAAAAGCGAAATCTAACCTCGAATTGGACATTTTTCGATTTCCATTGTGGTCGAATTACACTTATGACTTCAATTGCAGAGCTCTCACAGTGATCCGGACTTGTAACCGACAACTCGATGTTTACAAATGGGACATTCATGAAAATTTCTGAAAATATTCATGTTTCCGTCAATATTACTTCTATTTCGGACTAGACGTTTACGAAATTATAACACTTCGTGACGAAGAATTGCAAGAGAAAAGATGGTATTCAGATACAAAGCTGAGGAGCTGGTTAGTTCTTAAAAAACGTTTCACTTGTTTGTAAAAGTAGTGAGCAGTATATGTTCTGTGTATGGATTGTCTTCATTCTAGGAGACAAATCTGCCTGACTGGTACAGAAGAAATTTATTACTGGAATGGGTAATAAAAATTCTTCCTTCATCTGTTGACGTCTGCAATTGATTGAAGAACTATTGCCTGTTAAATCACCTGCGTTTGACGGAAAATAAGGCAACGATCAAAGTTTGGGTATTAGCGCAAACGAATTGAAAACACAGTGAAGTCTTGTACACCAAATCCGAGCATTTCGTCAACTCAGCTTTAATAATCTCATTCAACAACAGCATAAGAAGCAGGCAAGGTTTTTCATGTCTCGCCGATTCGGTAGCTTTTTTAAACACATAATGAGCAGCCTAGAAAGCGACGAAATTTGTAGTAAAAGATGCAACTGGAGAAAAAGATTGACTGAGTTTTGTGGAAGGAAGTCCGCGAAAGTGTAGAGAATGGTGCACAGGATTGTGTGAGTAGCGAGGACTTCTTATACTAAGAAGATCTTTATTTACTCATCGCTGTTTAATCATAAGCAAACTCCGCTTTTTAATGGTCAACAAAAAGTAGCTTGCAATGTTCAATGACAATTTTTGAATTCACTTCGAACATTCTACGAGATGAATGAATGATTGAGCGCCTGGCTGTGTGTCTCTACGTGACTTTTCCACTTTACTCCAAACACAGAAATAAGGGTTTAAAACGATACAAGTAACGCCTACACCAGACTGGAGTGCGTTAACAGTTATATGGACGGTGCAGTAAAACAACTTTGTTTTCAGAAGAAATGCACGAGCAACTGGAGCATTGGAAATAAAGAAATAACGGTGAAAAGATGTCCACGAATCGAAGTAAACGACTATCCTGTTTAAAGAGGAGAGAGATACCCAGTTGCATAATCGTTGTATTATTTTCTACCAGTGAAGAAATTTCTATGATGAATTGCTTCGGCGAGCAGATTTTTCTACTGAACACAGTCTGATGACATCAGCACCATTAACCTGAAATGGAATCACGGAGTGTTGAATACAAAGTGACGTCATTTGCTCTGTGAAGAATTCTATGTGGAACTCAAGCATTCATGTCTTATTGTAGTTTCCATTAAACAAGACGTTAGGAAAGCAACGTTGTCAAATAGTCTTTTACTTTTTTAAAAAGTCGGAATCCGTAGAAACATCGAGTGAGTTCACACAAATTTTGTGTAAAAGCTTTTTTTGGATCATCAGCGAAATAAAGGCTTTTTAAGAAGTTAAATGAGCTGAAGTTTCTGAAGTTGAATCTACTACGCGAAACTAACAACTAATTAGAGTGATTGGTCATAAGCACTTAAACGCTTAAATAAACATTTGAACACTTAAACTACGAAACTAAAGTAAACTATGGTAAACACTCAAAGTTTTTTTTACCTTCTGTAATGAAAAATTTCCGCTGATTACCGTATAATTAATGATTTAGTCAATTACACCGTTTATAAGTTAGCAAAGGCTGGTAATTCGAGGAGGTTAACAGTTGTTTTCCAGAAAATGTCCATTAAAAGAAAGAAAAGAGGATACGGTTAAGTAATGTGATAAAAAGGAAACACAAGCGACAAGTAATACCAACTCTGTCAAAGTTATCTGATTCATTTGCACTTCCGTTGCGTTAGTCACTGAGTGATTAGGATTTCAGAGCGCTGAATATCATTCACTTGCACTGCTTGCAATTTTTCTGGTCGTTAACTAACTCAAGCTCATAGCGGTGAAGCTTCCATTCGTTCTTGGTGAGAGTTAAAATAACCTAGTTAGCTCCGTTTGCTCGAAAAGCGCAAAAAGAATCGTGCTTTTCTTGTGAGGTCTGCTATTGGGTTCCTGTGGGTGTTATGCAAACATAATCATGGAAGACATGGTGGATTGTCTATGGAGAGACGTTGGCCTTTGCTACACCTCGACCTCTGACCTCTCGCTGCTGACCTCTGCCACTTTACTTATCAGTCACTATACTAAATGGGTTTTACCAAATCGACGTGCAGGATGCAACCTGTACACGAGCATACCCGCAAAATCAGTGATGAATCAACGTAAATGTAGAAATTAGAGGAAAACTCGACAATGCAAAAAAGCAGCGTATCTTCTGAGTCCAGTTACGTTTCAGGTTAGGTATGTGGTAACTTTCATTTCCTGATTAACCAAGTGCTCGTCAACTTCGCACAGGTAGTGTAGCTTTGCTACAGACAAATCCGTCACAAAAAATAGATCAGTGGGCTATATTCGGCTAAACGTTTTTGTTCACTGAAATTATTTAGTATGAGGAATGGAATTCGGCCAACAACAACTAGTTCACCTCGAACAAGCACTTACGAGACGAGTTCTTCGTCAAAAGAGGAATGCTGTGATGATATGTATAGCAAAATTATAGTAAAGAATGGACGTGACCAACACGTGCTTCTCGTTTGATCTATTCTGTTTCATTTGTCTTTTTACATAAAGACGGATTTCTTTTATATTAGGGCGCCTGACAGTTTAAACACATTGCGAATATTACAGAGATCAACCGGGAGATTTTCCGATGCCTTGTCATGACAGCCATCGAAGCGAAATCGTTACAGCGAAGGGAAAACTGCGAAATAAGAGAGACATTCGTGCAGTAACTCGTAATCAACAAAGTTCACCAAGAATCAGCAACAAACGATTAGAAACTGGCTGATAAGCGCGTCGACTTTTAGGACTCGTGACCACCACAATCAGAAATTTGGCATGGCTTGATTGACTGACACTTCTTGAAATACTCGTCATCGAAAACAGGTTTTCAGCAGAAAAATGAGTATCGCATGACCTCGATTATATCATGTTTCCCGAAAGTTAATGTCGTGTTCTAACCTGCATTTTCAAAGTGGAATATCTAACCTAAGAATAAATTTTACTAACCAAACTCCCTAAGAATCTAACACTTTTGCAAGCGGAAAACCAGTTTACCATTACTAGTGGCACAAAAGTTTGGATTTCTAGCGGCAATGAAGTCGTCGATGACAATTTCGACGAGGAATTGGTTTTTGAAGTGGAAGAATTTTTGATACAGGAAGTTATCGAAGTGCTTGAAAAAGTGGTAGTCGGTAGGTGAGAGACTTCAAGAGTATAGTGGATGAGGCAGGATTCCGTAGTCCCAGCTCGTTCGACATTTCTTGCTTTGCTTGTGCGACGGTTGATTTTTCCCCTTGAATTTGTGTAAGCAAATTTGTCAAATTAACTGTTTTGACACCTGAAATCCTGTCTTCTGTAACAACCTCGTGTAAGCTGAGTAATCTAAAGAGAATTATTGATTGCTCCCACTGCGGTTAAATGACGGTCAGTTTGAACAATATTGAAATTCTAACCTTAAAAATTTTTTGACGACACAAAACATTCTATAATTTAACAACACAAAGAAAGCGCATAAAATAGGATCTACGACAATGTTACATAATAGTACTACCTTCGCTGGAAAATCGTTAACTAAAATCTATGTAATAAAACGAAATTGAAAACCCATTATTTTCCGAGAATCCTGATACGCAGCCCATTCTGCTTGATGAAATAATCCTTGCTTGGTGACTCGAACTTGGTTTATTTTAGTCAAGCCTCCTTCATTTCATTAGAATTGATGAGCAGAAAGGATTCGATTTTTCGAAATGTTCTTGTGGAAATCAACTCGGAGTAATTCTTCGTATTTTTGTTGAGCAAACGCGAGGTGTTCTTATTCTTTATTCACGAATAAGCTGACGTTTCGGCGGATTTCGCCTTCCTCAGAGCCTGGAAAGGTCAAGTTGATAGCAATCTACTCGGCCATACGCCTCCATAACCAAACAAAGAAACTCTAAACCAAGATTTCAATCAAATTGAACACAGCTTCGCACACTCACAGCTTTCTATGAGGTTTCCACTAAGTATGTCACGTAGAGACCAACCGCTCAAAAATCACATGGAAGCATAATGTCCCCCTCCCATCAGAATAGCAGTCTTATATACTGCCCTATATCACGCGTGATAGTGAGGCATTCTTCCCTGCGGTTCATTTTCGGATTTCTAGAATTAATCCAGAACGCCTCGAGAGTTTTGCGCGCTTGTGTTCTCGATTCCCGTGCGAGGATCGTGACACGTACTTCAAAGTCCTCCCAGTTATGCCTCTGGGTCCTTTGCGTGCCTAGCGGAGTATTTGGTCTATGTTTGCCGGCTAGGTGTTCTTTTATGCCGACATAGAGGGGTCTACCTCTTTCACCAATGTATTCGTCACCGCACGTCTTACAGGAGATCAGATAAACTATACCCGAGCTCATGCAATCACCGTCTCTACCACTGGGGCAAATTATGCAATTTTGAGTTGCACGTAAACGGTCATATTGGCGGTTACGAACTAGCTGGCGCTTAAGATTACTCGGTGGTTTCTCAACTACGCTTACCGAATTCTCTAAACCCGCTCTTCTTAAGCAGCGTTTTATAGCTGTACTTATATCGTTTGAGATGAAGGGTAGGATAAACGAGACCCTTCTATCGCTAGAGTTGTCGTTTGGAGGCCTAGAATCTCCTCTACACCTATCCTGAGCTACTGTTTCGTAGCCATTAGAAATGGCTATTTGCCGTGCCAAGTTCCGGGACTCCTCTCTCTGCTCTCTTCCCGTGCACACGTTGGTTGCCGTTCGAAACATGTTTCTTACAAGCGCCCTTTTCGTGTAAGAGGGGTGAGAGGAGAAGTAATGAACCAAGATAATTTTACTACTTGGCTTTCGGTACCACTTTGTAATGTAGCCATTTTCTGATAGGTGAATTTGTACGTTCAAAAATGGAAGTACTATTTGGCTTTCGGTACCACTTGGTAATGTAGCCATTTTCTGATAGGTGAATTTGTACGTTCAAATATGGAAGCCATTTTTCCTTCGGCTTTTCTCGGGTGAACTTGATATACTCTGACTGAGCGTTTAACAATTCGAAACATTTATCCATTTTCTCTTGTGTAGGGCAAAGGACAAAGCAGTCGTCTACATACCTACAGTAGAGTAGCGGGCCCACTTCAGTCACCGGTGCTTCCACCTTAGACATAAATGCAATGGCAAGGCTTGGAGCCAGCCGTTGTCCCATTGCCAACCCTCTTATTTGAGCGTAGTACTTTCCGGACCATCTGAGGTTTGAGCAGCTCAAGCAGTCTTTTAAAAGTACCATCAGGTGCTCTATCTTGAAACCATAGATGTTTATTTCTTCTTCGTGTTGTAGAAGGAGTTCGAATATGGCTTGCATTGTGGAGTCATTCGACACGTTTGTATAAAGGGCGGTAACGTCGAAGAACTCCATCACGCACGCGCTGTTGGGCTGCGCAGTACGTAGACGATCCATAAACATCTGGGTATTCGTAAGGTGGGCTGGAATGTGTTTCAACAACTGGTTAAATATTAGGGTTAAAAATCAAGTTATCCTGTCCGTTGGCCCGTCTACGCAGCTAATGACACCTTAAATACTGATGGATCGGTAGACGCAAGATCATCGCTGGATACTAACTTATGAGTTTTTATAAGTAAGTACAAGACGGGGCATGTTGGTAAGTCAACTTTAAGTTGAGAGATAACTGATGGTCTTAAACCAGCAGCCTTTGCCATTTTGGCCCATTCGTTGTTCAATTTTCGGTATTTACTTTTAAATTCCTTCTCAGACGACGGACGATAAAGGGAAGCATCTTCAAGGTGCTTTTCCGTTATCTCCACATCTAACTGATAAGGAATTACGACAAACTCTTCACCCTCATCACTTACGGAAAGTCTTATGGTTTTCAACCTTATCAGCTCTCGTGCCTCTCGCATACCACGTTTTTGCCCTGGAGTGAGGTTTGAGCTGTATCTTTTCACGCGATAGTGATTAAGGACCTTGAGAGCTTCATTCGCAAACCTCGAAGAACTCCTTAACCAGTTGGATTAATCAGCAGACTCAATGTACGTGCCTGTGCTCCGAATACACCTGCTTTCGCATGGTCATAATTTAGTAAGTTCTCAGTTAGCCTCATTTAAAATGTAGGAAGAATTAGAGGGCATTAGACAAGGAAGCAAATGAAGCTGTCCATTCCACTTCTATTTGTAGTTTATATCTCTTATATATTACACTTGTTTTGTACAATTCTTTCCACTTCTGCTCAGCAAACACGAGGTGCTATCCCACTTTCCCACTCACGTAAAATATGACGTTTCGGAGGATTTCGCCTTCCTCAGAGCCTGGAAAGGTCACGTTGACAGCAACCTATTCCGCCAAACACCTTCACAACCAAACAGAGAAAACGCCAAACCAAGACTTCAATCACATTGAACACAGCTTCGCACACTCACAGCTTTCGATGAGGTTTCCACTAAGTATGTCGCGTAGAGACCAACAGCACAGAAATCACATGGAAGCGTAATGTGCCCCTCCCATCAGAATAACAGGCTTATATACTGCCTAATATCACGCGTGATAGTGAGGCATTCTTCCCTGCGGTTCATTTTCGGATTTCTGGAATTAATCCAGAACGCCTCGAGAGCCTTGCGCGCCCGTTTTCTTGATACCTGCGCTAGGATCGCGACACGTACTTCAAAGTCCTCCCGGTTATGGCTCTGGGTTCTCCGCGTGCCTAGTGGGGTATTTGGTTTATGTTTGTCGGCTAGGTGTTCTTTTATGCGGACAAGAGGAGCATGCCCGCTTCGCCAATGTATTCGTCTCCGCACGCCTTACAGGAGATTAAATAAACTATACCCGAGCTCATGCAATCACCGTCTTTATCATTGGAGTAAATTATGCAATTTTGCGTTGCACATAGATGGTCATATAGGCGGTTACGAGGTCATATAGGCGGTTACGAACTAGCTGGCGCCTAAGATTACTCGGTGGCATTTCAACTACGTTTACCGAATTCTCTAGACCCGCCCTTCTTAAGCAGCGTTTTATAGCTGCACTTACAGCATTTGAGATGAAGGGTAGGATAAACGGAACCTTTTTATCGCTGGAGTTGTCGTTTGGGAGCCTCCGATTTCTCCTAAACCTATCCCGAGCTGCAGTTTCGTAGCCATTGGAAATGTCTATTTGCCGCGCCAAATTCCGGGACTCCTCTCTCTGCTCTCTTCCCGTGCACACGTTGGTTGCTGTTCGAAACATGTTTCTTACAAGCGCTCTTTTCGTGTGAGAGGGCCGAGAAGAGAGGCAATGTACCAAGATGTTTTTACTACTTGGCTACCACTTCGGTACCACTTCGTAATGTATCCATTTTCTGATAGGTTAATTTGGACGATCAGTAATGGAAGCCATTTTTCTTTCGGTTTCTCTCGGGTGAACTTGATATACTCTGACTGTTTATTCAGCAACGCGAAACACTTGTCCATTTCCTCTTGTGTCGAGCAAAGCACAAAACAGTCTTCTATATATCTACAGTAGAGTAGCGGCCGGAGGTCAATCACCGGTGCTTCCACCTTAGACATAGACATTTTCTTGGAGCTTTTTTTTGCTGAGCAGAAGTGGAAAGAATTGTTCAATCAATGCCGAGGTTAATAGAAAGTCGGACGTGGGAGTTACTTGTTTTGTAATTTTGCGCAGACCTGGCACGAAGACTTCATTCTGTGAAACTAAAATGCGTGACAAAGCATCAAAAGAGTGGAAACTTCTTCTTACAAAAACCATTCATTTTTCTATTTAGTTACTTCTGCTATGGTAAAGTTTGCACTGAAAACATCAAATACAGCTTTGCTGTTCATTCCAAATAACATCCTTGTAAGTCATCCAAGAACAGTGAAGCCTTTTCAACTCTTCAACTCACTGTATTTTACACCGTACTTTTGCCTGAAATCAAGATTAGAAACACCTGCATTTCTAACTTTCATTGTTCCAATGCAAAATTCACCTCTATAAAAGTTCTCAGTTCTTTGTTGGAAACCTCTTTTCTATGCAGCTTGTTCCGAGGATTGAAGTCAAAGACTATTTTTTAATCTCTCGTAACACTTTGCGATGTTGAAAGCTGGAAAACAAACACGTTATTGATTTGCCGCTTCTTCCACGGTAGTGTTCGTGTACACCTATGTTTTTTTTCGGTCTTTAGGTGTTCAGCGGTTTTCTAGACAAGAAAAAAGGTGTACCTCGTCCAAATTGAAGTGCCGATCGAGCTCTATCGAACGATGAGTACGATTTGAAATGAACGGATATGTAGAAGTCTTTGCGGAGGTTTTGTTATGCTGTTGATTCTTGCGATATTTTCCGAGCAAGACATTTAACTTCGTCCACTGGAATGACTATGATGTTTTTATTTTTCGACAGCGGACTCCGAGCGAACTTTTCCATTCCTGTTATGAATCATGAATTAGAAATAGAAGTACTGCATTACACTACCACTTACATTTACGAATTGCTTCGGTCTAGACCACATTCCGTACGTAGTAGAAACCATTAGAAAAACTATGACTTTTGGAAATTCTTGACTATCTTGAGGTGGCATTCTTTTAGAATAGAGATAATCAATGATGATTCGAACTAGAACGGATTTCAGTCAGTAGCATAAACTAGGGCGGTTTCCTTCAAATGCAAAGGCAACTTCGTACAAGAGTGAGAATCCTGTTGTTTAAAAAAGAAGAGATGTTAAATGAACTATGTGTAAACTTCAAGAAGCGTTGGTGATCCTCTAACATTAGGAGTGTGATAGTCGTTTACTGGAACTATTTCTCTTAATTTATGTCTTTCTCTTATCACATATTACTATTCCGACGATGCTGTTGCCGCCGCATATGTCACCGCTTTTCCTAAGTTGTTTTTCCTCTAACTCCTGCTAATTCGTTAATTCGCACAACTCGCCGACGAATACATTTTAAAGTCCTAAGTGTTACAAGACTTGACGTAACAGTAGCCGTACTGAAAACATTGAAGGATTTCCTTTATTGTGCCTTCTTCCAATCACCAAGTTGAAATACCTCTATTTGCCCATCTGCACTTTTGAAGAGTCACCTTCAGAATATTTGTACAAATACAATGAACCGAAGCAACTACAGCATCCGCTATTACTTTATCAGAATTCTTCGAAATCTTAGTTGGCTTCCCTACGAAGCCTTCATTTATCCATCCAGTGCATTTCTTTTGGGGAAATGTTTCAGTGATTGGCGAATTACATAGTGGACAATGGTTATTGGGAAGTAATTTTGAAGGACTTTTTCATTTGTCATTGCATGTTATTTTAATGGGAATGTGATTGAACGAACCGTATTTTGACAGTAAGCGATTTTTGCTGCGTTCTCTTTATGAGATTATTTGAACTCGACTAAAAAGTCAAGAAATAACGCCGTTTAAATGCATGCAACTCACTTTTCAACAGAAATGGAAATTTTTTAATAAATTTAAAAGATGATTTAGTTTATAACTTTTAGTTTTAATGAAATCAAAAATAAAAAAGTGACTACATTGTGATTTATACTGCAACTTCAGCTTCACTGGGTTCAATGTCGATTTGTGCTGTCCAGACCAATCTCCTTGACGGGTGACTGCTGTTAGCAATTAAAGGTAAAAACACGGCTGAGAGAATGGCAGAATGGCATCGCCGCTGCATAAAACACCAAGACGCTCCAAAATTCATAAAAAGAAAACGACTACACGAAGTATGCGGACTACCAGAGGATGACCACCGAGTACTGGACATCGAATTGCAAGTACTGCGCACCTGTCTACGAAGCAAACAAAACCAGATGTTCGCTAAGTGGAAGAAGTGCGAGAAGAAAGAAAACTATTGTGCTCAGTATTTGGAGGACTGCCTCTGGAGGAGAATAGTGGGTGGGTCAGTGTTGATTTGCAACTCTATTAGGTCTAATGTTAAAGTAGATTTGCGGAGAAAATTCGAAGACCTTTTGAGTAAATCGCATAACACGGCTTCAAGAGCATACAGAAACACCGCCAACGAAGATCAAACGATTCACAGTAAGATAAATAATGTGCAAAGAAATTCAAGGTTGAGCGTGCTAGGAGGCATAACCCTCTCTGACGGTGCGCGCTGGTTATTAGAATTGGGACCGTGTTTCTCACCGTCTGAACCCATTTCTAAGGTAACCTTGCGTAGGGTCGCATGTAGTTTACATGAATTTCAAGATAGACTCCGCAAAAAAAGCTAGGGATGAAGCGCAAAATAGGCACGAACAACAAAGAGTAGGGGTGATACCGGTACCACCATTTCCTCAACCGTTCTTTTGACAACAAGAGCCCATTAATGAAGTTGATGTTAATTTTCGGATGTTTGCGAATGAAACTTTCAAAGCCCTTAATCACTATCGCGCTAAAAGATACTGCTCCAACCTCACTGAAATACAAAAACGTGGTATGCGGGAGGTACGAGAGCTGATAAGATCAAAAAACATAAGACTATCGGTTAGTGATAAGGGTGGAGAGTTCGTTGTAATTCCCCAACGGTTAGATGTTGAGATAACGGAAAAGCACCTTGAAGATGCTTCCCTTTATCGTCCGTCGTCTGAGAAGGAATTTAAAAGTCAATACCGAAAGTTAAACAACGAATGGGTTAAAGTGGCAAGAGCGGCCGGGTTAAAACCATCAGTTATTTCTCATCTCAAAATTGACTTACCAACATGTCCCGTCCTGTACTTACTTATCAAAACCCATAAGTTAGTATCCAGCGATGATCTCGTGTCTACCGATCAATCGTTATTTAAGGTTAGACCTATCATTAGCTGCGTGGACGGGCCAACAGATAGAATAACGTGGTTAACAACCCTAATACTTACTCAGTTGTTGAAGTACATTCCAGCTCATCTAACGAACACCCAAATGTTCCTGGATCGTCTACGTAACGCGCGACCCA